AGTGCTCGCCGCCGTGCGCATGACGAGCGCCGGGCAGCTGGCGGCCTCTCCGTGGGCAAAGAGGTGCTGGAAGACGCCGAGATGCGCGTACGTCGCGGCCACCGCCCAGTGCGCGTCCGAGAGCCGACGGCCGAGGTGCACCAAGAGCGCCGTATTGCTGTACGTGAGCGCGTAGTAGAGGAGGTGCTCCTGGTAGCCGGCGGCGACGAGTTGGTCGAGGCCACGCACACCAAAGCGCAGGTGCCAGACGGCAAAGCGCACGTGGAAGGGACCGAGGATCCTGGGCAGGCCCTGCGTCTGCTGCAAAGAGACGCCGCGCAAGGCGCGCACGAGCGCCATCGTATGTTGGTTGTAGCCATCCTGGTAGGCCACGATGGTGAGGACCAGGTCCGGCGAGCGCAGAGCGTGCGGCATGGGGCAAGAAAATGAGATATGTATTGTCCGGATAAGCATCAGCTGCGATCGTCGGAGTGTGATGGGCCGCCATTCTTTGGCCGCGAGTGTTCTCGCTGCAGCGACGCGGCGCCGTTCTTTTTCTGCGAAGAGCTGTCAATGGGATGATGATGACGCAGGGCCGTGTCTACACGTAGCCACAGTACCTGGCGACCACTCCCCCGTGAGTGCGTCTACAAGCTGCAGACCATGCAAAAACCGTCGCTTCGCGCAAGATCCGTCACAAGCCAACCCGATTGGCCATTTCAGTTGGCAACATGGCGTTGTGATTGGGTGAACGTCTCCATACGACACGAGCCGACGTAAACTAGGTTCCTGCGGAGTGGGCTGGTAGGAAACCTCTTTTCGAGGTAACGTTGAGCAATGGAGTCGATGGAAGTGCGAAAGACCTGAAGCGTGTGCCTTCCGCGTCGCTCATTGTGTTATGTGAAGGTTGTGAGTTGCAGGGCATGCAGTTTGTGACCGCGTCTTGCGTGTTGTTGGCGAAGTTGTTGGCCAGGCTGACGCTGCTTGCTGCCAGGAAAGCCAGCGTGATGCCGGGTCCGGGCACATCCCTGCGGGCGCCTCGTGCAATGAGGCGCTCGAGGAATGCGAAGGACATGTTGTTGCAAGTGGTGTGCGCGCCTTGACTTTGGCCTGGCGCTGCGTTTGGAGCCGCGCGGCCTTCTCCTCGGGCGTCTCACTCGCCTTCTGAGCGGCGCGTGCCTTGGTTTTGCCCTGGCGCTGCTTTTGGAGCCGCGTAGCCTCGTCGTCCGACGTATCATTGGCTTCCTGGGCGGCGCGCTTTTTTTGGCTTTGCCCTGGCGCTGCTTTTGGAGCCGCGCAGCCTTCTCTTCAGGCGTCTCGCTCGCCTTCTGGGTGATACGAACGATGGTTTCGTAGTGGCGTCGCTGGACGAGCCGCTCAGCCTTTTGCCCCGGCGTTTCATTGGCTTTCTGAGAGGCGCGTGCGTCGGCCTTGTCCTTCCGTTGCTTTTGGAGCCGCGTAGCCTCGTCGTCCGACGTCGCGTTCGTCTCCTGGGCTGCGCGTGCCTTGGCTTTGCCCTGGCGCTGCGTTTGGAGCCGCGCGGCCTTCTCTTCAGGTGTTGTGTGCATGCTTTTTTGAGATGGTGGTGCACACAGACAACCCCGGCGCAACGCCACATAGCGCAACACCACAGAGCTCGAGCGACACGGCCAAGATGGTACAAGAGTAGGACATATGAGGACACATCGGTTGTATCAGGGAGTTTTGACCAATGGGAAAGTGGTTCAGCGACACGCCGCGAAGAAGGTATCTTTTAAATTTCTACCAATCACTGCAGCCGCGGACACAGTTTCTACCAATCACTGAGTCGTGGACACGGAGACGGACAGACGGACAGACAATTAATCCCCCCTGGGCTGGTGTAACCAGAGGTTCCTACCAGTATAAGAGCTTATTGGATCGTGCACGCTGCGTCGTCGGCGGGCGGCGTCGGGCGCAGGCGCTGGAGGTGTGCGATCACGGCTTCGAGTCGCTCCCTCTGCGTGCGAGAGGCGACGACACGAAGGCTTCGTCGAGCCGCTTCGAGCGCGCCGACCAAGAGGGTCTCGCCTTCATAGTGCGAGCAAAAGTACGTCACGAGCTCCAAGTGGCCGCAGGCAGCGGCGCGACGGAGGCTGCCCGCAATGTCGTTGGCCCTGCAGTGCTTGTCCAGATACCTAACGATCTCGACGTGGTTGTGGTCGACGGCGCCCAGCATGGCATTGCACGTGCCGCGGAGCCGGCGCTTGTCGTTCAAGAAGCGCACCGTGGCCACGTCCCCTCGGGCGGCGGCAATGTCGACGGCCTCGTCCGAGAAGCCGTCGTAGCCGTTTTCGTGCAAGAAGCGCAGGACCGGAAAGTTCCCGGACCGCACCACGTCGTTGATCGTGCCGGCGCCGAGCGATCTCGTGGTCTCGCGGTCGTTGGCAAACTCTGCGACGTGCAGTTGGCCCGCCGTGCACGCCCAGCGCAGCACGTGTGGGCTCCAGTAACCGAGGTCTTCGAGGTACACTACCATCGCGAGGTTGCCCCGCATGGCCGCGGCCTTCATCGCGCGTTGATCGTAGTTGGCCCAGTCGTGCCGGTGCAGATACTC